GCTCTCCGGCTTCGTCGCCAGGGCCGAGGCACAGTCTAACACGCCTGGTCATCCTCGTGAGTGGGCGTCATGTCCCGGCAGGAAACGAAAGTACCGAATCCAAGTCCCGGTGGACGACGTGGAGTTCTCACAAGATAGCATCGGAGCGAGATTCACTTGCGTCCGGAAGCTGCAGAAGACCGTAGACAATCTCTTCGATGGCAAGGCAGATTGCTCGTTTGCAGAGCCCGCTCAAGGCAGTACAAATACGTGACCGTGAAGGTCCATCCCCCCCACAGCGACTTCCTTGTGCTACAAGCGATGAAAGTAGCGGAAAGAACACGATATATAAGCCAGCGTCTGACGTTGTTTGTTGCGGTGTTTGCCTCCTTTGTCTTGGCCATGATTTCATGCGCGGCCTCAGGTCGGAACAATCGACGCTTGTGGTGCTTGAAGGAATACCAAAAGCTGCGAAGACGAGAAGACAAAGACTTTACTGTCAAAGTACGGCTGGATGCCAGCTTCCCGGACTTTCTCTCCGAAAGCCCTGCCGTAACTCCGCGCATGAGGTCATGGAAGACCAAAATCGGAATATCAGCGACTTCATAGGGCATCGCACAAGCTATCACCTCAGCCATGCAGAACCTGGATCTCGGGAAGTGAAAGGGTTCTACTTGAGACGTGCCGTTAGCTGGGAAATATGGTCCAGCTGATAGAGACTGCATCTGCCGTGCAAGGCTTCCTCGGTTTGTGCCGATGGTGCGTGTGGAACGGCTGTCTCACATGAGGTGCCTCTGCCTTTTCCGGGGTCTAATCATACCTCCAGTATGCTCTCTATCAACGTGGAAGCGCTGGAGTTGAATGCTGCCCGAAACCGCCCTTGCGGCTACATCTTCCTAGACTTTGAGGACTCGGAGGATGTTGTGCGCCTTCGTAAAAACCTGCAGCTGCTGGACAACTTGCTTTGGCCCCCCCTTCAAGATCGAAAGATGCAGGTAAAATTTTGCCCGCATTCAAGGAAGGAGGGCTCTCCTTCATCACTTCTGTGGGTCGGAGCTGATGTTCGAAGCCGATGCCAATCGCGGGCCGCCTCGCAATGGAAAGTCCAGCAGTGGCAACTGCATGGTCAACCCCATCGACTTGAGGCAATAGCTATTGCCTGGCTTGCAGCACGCTGCTGCGAGACAGCATCGCTCCGATCGAGATCGGGCGACTTTGAAACCAGACACTAGTAACTTAGTAACTAGTACTTGTAAAGCTCAGCGGTCTGCAACGAGGACTGCAAGCAAGGTGGAGTCGGAGAAAAGTCACCATGCGTTGCATGCGCATGCAAAACGGGCAGCAGCTCGATGGCCACATTTACTTCTGCACAGAGACGTCCTAACGGACCAGGCCCTAACCTCAGATATGCAGCCGCCAGAACTCAACCATGATCTTGATGAATGTATACGGCTGTGTGATGAAGGCACTATGTAGTGGGGCAAAAGGTGGTAGCTAGGTAAACTGTAACGCGTAGGCAGGCAGGTGACTCATTGTGATCTTCGGGCCCATTCGCTGATTCGCTGATCCGGTTTGCCTGGAGTTTTCTCTCAGGAGCTGGTCCCCGATGCCCTCGAAGTTCTCGGTCGAGAGCTCATGGGGACTCAGGGGGCCGAGAGCTGTGGTTTGGACATGGGGGCCCTGATGAAGCCCTAGACCCAAAACCCTGCGGAACGTGATGGATATTTGGGGTTTTGGGGAACTTGGGCAGGGATGCATCGTCTGCTCGACCTACCGGTACACGGTTTGGGCTCCAAGGCAATTTAGGGGCTCCTGACTTTCCTTGCTCCCGATGAGTACCCTTACTCTAGAAGAGGGGTTATTTACGTTTTGGGTTTTGGGTTTGGGCCTTATATCGCTAAGACAATAGCAGATTCGGCCGATCCGTGAAACTCCAGCACGCAACTGCTCGTCTTGTTCGATCCCTCGTGGTTTTGGCTTTAGGGTTTAGGGTTTAGGGTTTTGGTGATTCCGGGCGAAGTGGAAAGCCTGTTGCAAAAAAGGGTTTTGGTGATTATCGTGGCAGTAGCGTCCCCAACTTCTTTGAACCTTTCCTCGGCTCAAGCGGGCTGCTGTCTAAGACACTGTGCCGTGCTTGCTGCATGACTCCGCAGAAGATGCAAGTCTGCATTGGTGCCTCTGTAGATGGCAAGGGTCTTGGAGAAGGAGGCCCCGTAGGCGACGCCCTTCAAACAGATGAAACAAAAAGGAGCTATTACGAGCAGGTCCTTGCTCATTTTGTCGATCTCAAACCAACGAGAACCGATATCATTCGTGGAATACCAGTCTACAGAGTCCTGCACCTCATACCATGGCTTTGGATCAGAGGGTACAGCTGCAAGTCCTGGTATGTGTTGAGCCAGGTCACAGAACTTGACGAGTTCTGGTCCCACAGCTGGCAGGGAGCAGCATGGCAGAAGTATCTGAACGTACTGATTCTGAGCAACGGCTTCGCAGCCTTTCTGGTCAGCAACCTCACCGCCATCTTGGCATACATTCTGGTCATGCTCGAAATACTGCCAACAGATGGGGGGCAACATGGGAGCAAATGGTGCTCTTGCTTTGGGATCCTGGCATACTATCTAATTCTGCTGTGCTACCGGCCTTGGAAGATGATTTTTCTGGACATCGTATGCATCAACCAGGAAGACCGGGCGCTGAAGCTCGAAGGGACTGTGAGCATGGGTGCCACCCTGAGAAGCTCAAAAAGGCTGCTCGTGTTGTGGGACCCAACGTTCGCACGCAGGCTTTGGTGTGTCTTTGAGCTCAGCACTTTCCTCCATACCGTCCATGGAGATATGACGAAGTTGACTGCTGTTCCACCACTTTGGGGCCTCGTTGTTGTCTTGGGCCATGCAGGATTCAGCGTGGCCACACTCGTGTTGCTTCATTCCACGCATGCCGGAGGAGCATCAGGCAGGATCTTTATTCTTGGCTTGGCCATACCTTGCTTCACTGTAGCTGCGCACACTCTTCGGGTATTTTGCCGCAACATTGACGAGCTGGAAGAACAACTTAAGAATTTCAGAATGTCAGACGCCCTTAGTGCCTGCTGCCAACAGAGATTCTGTGGCAGAGGGGTGGTTTGTGATCGCAGAATCATTTCTGAATGCATCTCTCATTGGTTTGGGTCAATACAGAGCTTCCAGAATTATGTGCAGTCGGAGATGCGCCCGGCTCTGGTGCATGAACTGGTGAAGCACGCTTTTTCATACAGACTCTTCCTGCAGATGTGTTCCCCGGTATGCTGGCACTACATGGATCGATCGGCCAGAAACCGCAGATGGGAGCAACTGGGAGCGGTGTTGACGTGGGGAGTTTCTGTGGTACCAATGCTCTGTGTGCTGGCTGTCCGCCTAGCACATCTGCTTAGAACCCGCTATTGGTGGCCGTTAGATATCCCGATCTCGGTGGCAGTAGTGATTTCTGCAGCATTGCCGCTCCTTGTTGCCTCTCTGGCTCACGAGCACTTCCTCAGTTGGTGCAAAGACGTTCGCTGGGACGCGCCTCGTGCTAGCTTCGGAGTCGTGTCGTTTTGCGTGATGGTCTTGATATCCAGATGCGCTCCTGCAATCAGAGATTAGTCGCTCCATGGCTGGTGCAGGTTTCGACACCGCAAAAAGATGAGGCTTGGTTTCTGGTTGTTGTCGGTGGTTGGCAGGGCAGTCGAGGTGGCTGGTGAATCTTGCGTCATACTAACTGTGGAGCCCAGCCTTTGCGGAGTAGTTATCCCCTTAAAAATACCTGTTGGAGGCACCTCTCCCGGATTGTCTCAGCTGTGAAAGCCGCAAGCCTTTTCATCCAAAAATCGTAATCTTTCGCCCTCAACCCCAAACCAAAAACTCTCAGAAAGTTGAGTAGTGAAGCGTCATAATTTCAATCCGAGATGCCTATATAAGTTAAGTAGCCATGGTCCTCCCCCAAAGTCCTTTCCTTTACTTCGATATCCCTAAAACTCTATTCTAAAGCTCTAGAGCCCCAAGTTCATTCGCAAAGCGAGCCGCAGCTTGCGATGTGGGTAGGGTTCAGGCTTTCGGGTTGGATTCGGGCTGGGGGTTGGGTTCCGATAGCTTGGCTTCTGGTGTTAAGGCTCGAGGGTTTATGGGTCTCTGTATGAGAAGAAAGTTGGCGCTTCTAATTCAGGGTTTAGGGTTGTACGTTTGTGAGGTGTGGTTGAGGGTTTGAGATGCTTGATTTGGTTGGGGTTTATAAGAACTTAGGATTCCGAGATTATGGCTCAGGGCTTAAGGCTTTTCAGGTAAGGATTAATCCCAAGCCCTCAGCAGAACCTTGGGGGCGCATCTGAAACTCGGGATGAGGACGAGTTCATGTCTTGGCAGGGTTGGAACCGTGGCCCTTTCAAATGGGATGTTCCCGTTAAGGCTGCTCCCAAATCCCCAAACCAAATCCGGTGGCACATGGTCTGGACATTCCCTGCCCACTTCCTACACTACAAGGTGTCCACAATCCGGACAGGCAGGCGGTGGCGAAGATCACGGACGAGGCTGATCCGACACTAGAGCTGCGTGAGGTTAGTGGCGATTCGTTACTGACAGCATTGCTGCACAGACTACTCTTCCTTCTTGTTGCTTTCGCCCTCAGCATGTTGGTTCTTGGCCAAGACATGTGCCGATGTCCGTTCCATCTGAGTCGACCTTCCAGTCGTGTTGCCAGCAGTTGGACTGGTGTTTGTGGTGGTGGTTGTGGTGGTGGTGCTGGTAGCGGTAGAAGCAGTGAGCAAGTAGTAGTAGTGGTGGTGGTGCTGGTGCTGGTGGATGTGGTGGTTTGCACAGGTGCGGTTGTCGTGGTAGTGGTAGTGGCAATGTCAGTGGTAGCGGTAGTGATGGTGGTGGTGGTGGAAATGGTAGTCGTAGTCGTAGTCGTAGTCGTAGTCGTCGTAGCAGTAGAGGAGAAGTAGAAGTAGATGTAGAAGTAGATGAAGAAGTAGAAGTAGTTACTAATACTAAGTAGTAGTAGTCGTCGTAGCAGTAGTAGTAGTAGTCGTCGTCGTCGTGCCAGTAGTCCAGCAGTAGTGAACGGCATCCAGGAGTCTTTGGTATGGTGCCTGCCGTAGCCTGTGCATGTATACAGCAAGTGCAAATAGTAAGCAATTGGCCCAGCCGACCGGCACATAAGCACGCACAGGTGCGTGTGTACGTACATGTGCAAACGAACACAGAGAGCTGTCTATCCACGTGCCATAAAAATTTACATATTGTGTATATATATATATAGATATTTTATTTTGTTATATATATATGTATAGTTTATATTATGCTATACGTGTATATGCATATACATACATCCCCACATACATATAGATTTATATGTGTGGCTGATCCTTTGAGATCTTTTTTCCACCAAGCTTTTATATAAACATTCATAGACACAAGGTTGAATACTTCATCGTACGTCATACACTTCACATGTGACGTGATGATAGCATTAATCTCATTTCTTTTGACTTGATCTTGATGTCATTCATGCTGTACTTAGGATTCCGTCTTCACAAAGCAGACTCACGTGGAGTGATGGCGGCAAACCTTTGATCTTTTTGCCCTAATCCTGATATCATTCGATACTTAGGACTCGTTCTTCACGAAGCAAACCTTTGTGGTGTGATGATGACATACTTCTGATTTTCCTGGTCTGCTTAGTCATGATCTCTTGCCACAATGCTTGCTCATGTGTCGTGATGTAAAATACTTCTGACCCGTCGAGCCTGATTAAGATGTCACTGACAATGTGGCGATGACCTCGCTTCATGGAAAAGATACATGTGTTGCATTCATGTTACGTCTGCATATACTGAGCTCCTGCAATGGAACAATCTAGTTGACAATGTATTGTTCAATAGCCTTGGCCCTTCAGCAAATATTCACGTGAGTAAGCACCAAACAAATAAATGCCGGTGCCTCCATCACTCCAGGTCCGCCTGGCTGAACGCTTGATTTCAGAAGCAAAGCTGTCATCTTCGCTGAACTATACCGTCTTAGTCATGTAACAGGCGCTGGCATGCGCGTTATACTCAGGATCCCCCCTTCACAAAGCAGACTCATGTGGCGTGATGACGACATACCTCTGATCTCTTTGCTTTAATCCTGATGTCATTCATGCTATACTTAGGATTCCTTCTTCACGAAGTAGACTCATGTGGCGTGATGACGACATATCTCTGATCTCTGTGCTCTAA